ATCTCCCGCTTGGAATTTCAGCCTTTCTCATTGGACAAGCCCATCCTGAGAGGCGTGAATCTTCTCAGCCCGTTGTCTTCTGCTAAGGCTTCTGCTAAGTTTTTTACTAAATCTTCTGATGGCTGCCCGTGTGGAGAGCCTGAGCCGGTGCGAGGACATAAGCTGCACCTGAAGTGGCATTTAGAAGTATTTACACACTGTTTAATGCAGAACATGAATGCATTTAACCTACAGTTACAAATGCATAAATAATTTGATATATTAAACATAAAAAATTGAATACTGATATTAGAAATTATTTAAAAAATGAAAAGATACTTTAAATGTGAAATTAAAAACGCCAGCAGGTGGCAGCAAGTCACTGTTAGTAAGTGAGTTATTGTGAATTAACCGAATCATTTAAACGGTTGATTCATTCAGGAACAAAACGCTGTCATGTTGCTCAAAGAAGCAAAACAGCGCTGTGGCTTTGTTTGGAATTATTTTTGTTGGCGAAATAGTACAAAAACAGGCAATATGGTGTCTAAAACGTACGTCTCTTAATAAAACTTCTAGTTTATTGAGCTGTTGTAAAAAAAAAAAAATAATAAATATTACATTTGTATATGGTAATTTTTGGAGAAAAAAAGGCACTCTTCCGTGTGAAATTGATTAACTATAAGAAGTGGTATAAATATACACATTTTCTGCCCCCATGTCTTGAATTTGTGATCATTCTGAATGTATTTTAATAGACTGAATCATGCAGTGAAAGAGCGCACTGTAAATGTGCACGCGCACTAGACTTCAGGTAATGCGTGCACTCTGTAGGTGTTTTGAATGGTTTTTTTGGGTCGTGAGAATATTGAGCAAAATAGCTCACTTGTCATGGTGTTACTTAACTATATCTTGTTATGAATAAACTAAACATTCAGAATTTTTACCTCAGTTCTGAGTTTATGTGTGCTGTTACGCTCATTTGTTCTGAAGTCTCTCACAAAGAAACAAACAGAGTGAGCCTCAGCGTGACCTTGTATTCTGTATTCTGCTAACTTTCTACAATTCTCTCTGATGATGCAGTACCTTACGGAAGAAAAAATCTTTTGGTCTGTCCAATGATTGTAAACAGTCATTAGGTCCATCAGACTTAAGATATTTTAGCAGTAATGTGACCAAAAATATTTAAGACCCATCACATTTAAGACATTTTAAGACTTTTTAAGGCCTTATATTAGGAAAACGTTATTTAAGACATTTTAAGACTTTATAAGGACCCGCGGACACCCTGTAATTAGATTAAAAAAATTTCATCGCTTACCAGCCCTAGTACAAACATGAGCGCCCACACACTCAAGCCCACCTGGTTTCTGCAATGTTGGTAGCGTTCACGATCTTGCGCACTCCCGGAGGCGGCTTTTTGAATACCTGAGGGGAGAGAGAAGCTAAGTGTCATTCATGAACATAATAGCACTATTGAAAGTTTGAGGCGCTGGACTTCACATGGAGCTTAGCAAATTCAATTCAGCAGTCAGATGGGAGGGAAAGATCGCATTTGTGAGCTTGCCACAGCTGTCTACACTTACCTGAGTCTGAGACACTGTGGGCATCAAAGAGTGGAGGGGGATGATGATAAACCGATCTGAAAGAGAGTCGAGATTTGAGCAAGTCAGAACTCAAGGTGCTGTGGCCGCTAGCATACATGTGTTTGTTGTTAAATCTGTGTAAAGACAAATGTAGCTGTGATGAATGTAGATTCATTTTTATGTTCCTGTAACAACCAACCCTCTACACTGCAAGTAAATCACTCACATATGTGACTGAATTCCATACTAGGCAAATAAATAATATACACTAAACATACTATACCCAGCATTCTCTGACACACCAGTGTTTAAACACTCACCATAGCCTGGCTTAAAGTGCTCTCTATCTCTTTAATGTACACAAACAGAGAAAGAAAGTGAGAGGCTTAATTACCACATAGGATTTATGTGCTATATGTAAATAGTATTGGTTATATATACACTACTGGTCAAAGGGTTGGGATCAGTAAGACTTGTAATGTTTTTTTAAGAAGTCTCTTATGCTCATCAAGGCTGCATTTATTTTATCAAAAATACAGAAAAAAGACAGTAATCTTGCAAATGTTATTACAATATAAAATAATGGTTTCTGTTTTAATATACTTTAAAATATAATTTATTTCTGTGATGCAAAGCTGAATTTCCATCAGCCATTACTCCAGAATAAAGTGTCACATGATCCTTAAGAAATCAGTCTAATATGTTGATTTATTATTAGAGTTATCAATGTTGGCAACAGTTGTGCTGCCGAATATTTTTTTGGAAACTGTGATACTTTTTTCAGGATTCTTTGATGAATAAAATGTTAAAAAGCACAGCATTTATTCAAAATATAAATATTTTCTAACAATATAAATCTGCTATCACTTCTTAAAGGGTTAGTTCACCCAAAAAATAAAATTCTGTCATTAATTACTCACCTGCATGTTGTTCGAAACCCGTAAGACCTTCGTTCATCTTCGGAACACAATTTAAGATATTTTTGATTAAATATGAGGGCTCTCTGACCCTCCCATAGACAGCAAGGTAACTACCACATTCATCACGTCATCACGCCGGATCTGGGTCAGCGCCAGCACACGCTCGCGTCATGATACTGTCATGAACGTGCGTCCAAAGTGACGCAGTAGAGATGAAAATGCGGAATAAAGTCATTTTTTTTGTTTTCTTCGCGCAAAAAAGTATTCTCGTAGCTTCGTAACTTTACAGTTGAACCACTGATGTCACACGGACTACTTTGTATCAGATTTCATCAAAAATATCTTAATTTGTGTTCCGAAGATGAACGAAGGTCTTACGGGTCTGGAACAACACGAGGGTGAGTAATTAATGACAGAATTTTATTTTTTGGGTGAACTAACCCTTTAACAATTTAACACATCCTTGCTGAATAAAAGTTGTAGTTTCTTTCAAAAAAAGAAAGAATACAAATTTACTGACCCCAAACTTTTGGACTGTAGTTTATATTGTTAGAAAATATTTCTATTTTAAATAAATGCTCTTCTTTTTAACTTTTTGTTCATCTAAGAATCCTGAAAAAAAGTATCACAGGTTCCAAAAAAATATTAAGCAGCACAACAGTTTCCAGCACTGATAATAAATCAGCATATTAGAATGATTTCTGAAGGATCATGTGACACTGAAGACTGGAGTAATGATGCTGAAAATTCAGCTTTGCATCAGAGGAATAAATGAGATTTTAATGTATATTAACATAGAAAAATGTTATTTAACATCATAATAATATTTCACAATATTAAATTTTGTCCTGTATTTTTGATCAAATAAATGCATCCTTGATGAGCATAAGAAACTCATAAAAAAACATTAAAAAAATTGTTCTGATCCCAAACTTTTGACCGGTAATGTGTGTGTGTGTGTGTGTGTGTGTACATATAATTTTTATTTATTTATTTTTTACTCTGTCAAAACGACAGAGTTTGTTTGGAATTATCATCATCAGTATTTTAGCCTTTTCACTAATGCTCATCACCTATCACCATCCACGTTTTGATTTTGACAACAGTTTTCTAGCATCTTTTCTTCAAATGCTCAGGTGAAATGTAGAGATACAAAAATATATCTTCATAATTATTTACAGGTAAAACTACAAACAGGGACTAAGTCACTAAAAGACTGAAACATCTATCTGACTTAAACATCTGGTCAGCCATGAGAATATCATTCAGGGTGCTGATGTTGTCCCATCCAGGAAGAAACACTAGAATCGTTCCATGCTGAAAAGAAAAAGCAACTTCAATGTGTCTATATAATTGCACTTTTTTTTTCCTTTTTTTTTTTAAAGAAGTTAAAAAATTTGGGGTCATTAAGATTTTTTTGAAAAAATACTACTTTTATTCAGCAACTAACTACACATTAAATTGATCAAAAATTACACTAATAACATTAATAAAGTGACAAAGATTTTTATTTTGAATAAATGCTGTTTTAATAAACTTTCTATTAATCAAAGAATGATACATTCATTTTGAATTCATTTTGTATCATTAGGCAAGTTCAGAGACAATTTCTGACAGTTCTTAAATCACCACAAGCACAAATTACATTCCCACACTGTGATCTGAGGGGTAATTTCTGTCCTAAAAACGGAGCCGCCTACCAATGTCAGATAAAGTGAATCAAATCTTTTACATTAGCAAAAGCAATCTGAGAGGTTTACCCTCATAAAAATGCAGTGTTGACGGAGGGGAGGGGGGGAGATAAAACATGAAGTGTTCCCAGGCGGCCCTGGTTCTATATTTAACACCCCAGCAATGTGACCTCAAAGGTACATGACAAATTAAACAGAATCTACTTACCCTTGCAATGTGTGCATGCACATGAGCGTGTCGCTGGTTGTGCATGCCAAAAGGTAACTGTGTGTGTATGTATGTGAATGCATTTCAGAGCATTCTGTGACCCAGATTCCTCTGTGTAGAGCAAAACAAACCTGACATTAAAAAGCCGGGTATTCCCAAATGTTACTATTAATTAAGAATACTTAATCTCCCTATTCTGCTGTGAAATCCAGGATTGTGACACTGATAATGAAAGTGCCCCTTTCTACGAAAACAAACTTGCTCTTCATCCTCCTCGCCCCCCAAAAAATAACAGACATACACAAAAAGATTTTTAGCCTGATGTGATGGGACTATTTCATACTTCATGATAAAAAGCGAGTTATTTACCCACCCACCATTTTAGGGGTTACCAGACCTTATTTATTCTTAGACACATAAATTCTTGACTTTAAGTTTAGTAAATAGCCAGTCAGAAGATAGTGAAGTCAACAAGCATGCTTAATCTCCAGACAACATTAATTAAAACTGCTTTTGATCTGTGATTTTATGGTTTGGCTTCTTAATTAGCCAATCGCAATAATTTCCTCATGAAAGACAACCCACTGCTGTATCTGACAGCGGCCAATAAACACAAGCTAAACTCTTCTCTGATTTCAGAGAACTTTAAGGGTCAGAGGACTTTAAGCTTCTCATACAGCAATTATGTTCTTAAGTTTTTGACTGCATAACTCTAGGAAATATTGTCTGCCATGAAGACAAACCAGTACAGGGTCTTTGCGTTCTCTTCAGCTCTATACTTGTTTGAACATTTTGCAGCTTTTTATTGACAGCACAGTACGGAGAAGACAGGAAATGATGAGAAGCAGAGAGAATGAGAAAAGATCCAAGCTTAGTTCACCAACAATGGCACCAATGTGTCATAGAACATGAACTATGTATAATATGTTTATGTACCACTAGGCCACATCTCCAACTGATTACAATCTGGAAAATGACCTACAATAATAGAATTATCTGACTTCAGGAATTATATACATGTTTAACATTATATCAATGTTTTACTAAGGACTCTTCAGCCCAAATAGAAATTTGGACTTTGTCTTATTGTATTCATTTGTTCCAAAGTCCCTTTAAGGTAAGTAATTTCACTCGGTGGCCATCTTTAAAGCACCTCTCAGGCATGAAAGTGCAGCTCCTATCTCTTTGAAAAGGGAAACATCAAATTGTCCAAAACTGTTCGCCAAGCTTACGATTAAATTTCATATTTGAAATCACCAATAAAAAAAGACGACAACTGTCTCATTAACGATGTTTCTTTTGCTCAAATAGTGTTAAAAAAAGCTTATTTTTCAGGCTAGACCAGCCAACGCTGACTGTTTCTATAGCATCCAGAACTTCTAACGGCAGCTGCAGTGACACAATGACTTTACCCATAAGCAACTCGCTCTTTTATTCAGAAGGCAGGGTTTTCTTCGATAGAGTGGCCATGTTGAGCGATGCATTTTCCCCCATTCAAAACTATACAAGTGACACTTCTTGGGCTTTCTATAGTCTTTATTTGTACAGCAAGAACGATCGCGCAGAAGCTATTGAAGCGCTCATTTTATTTTGGTGTCATATTCATAATTTGTTAAATTAACCATAAAAATGGAAATTACTTTTTAAATGGACAAATTAATAAAATTAAGTTAAAAATATAACAAAAAATATTTAAATGAAAAAAAATACACTAATCAGACAAAAAATTAAAACCACTGACAACTGAAGTAAGTAACACTGATTTTATTGTTACAGTGGCACCGGTCAAGGGGTGGGGTATATTAGGCAGCAAGTAAACAGTCAGTTCTTGAATTTCATGTGTTGGAAGCAGGAAAAATGGGCAAGCAAAAAGATCTGAGTGAATTTGACAAGGGCCAAATAGGACAACTTGTGAAGCGGCATCAGGGTCATTGGCACCCAAGGCTCACTGATGGACATGGGGAGCGAAGGTTACATGACTTACATCACCAAAGTGTGACTTGGAGGATAAGCACAAGTGCTGACGATGTCATTTGAGACAGTGCCTTAAAGGCACAGCAGCCCATTTAAGTCTAAGGGTCAGAGATAGGAAGGGTTTTAAGCTAAATCATGACTGACATAAGTACACCACAGAGGGGGGAAAAGAAACACAAGCCCTTTCGGGGGTATAATAGTAGGTTACAATATTTTACCATTATATCTCTCATATTTGAGAATTCAGACCAATTTTATCCATGTTGGGTATGAATATGTAATGATATGAAATTAATGTGAATGTGGTATTGAAAAAGAGAGATACCAAACAGAACCTCCTGTTTGGAGGCTTTTATCTCACCCTCTCTGACATATACTGCAATCGTATGTCACACGTGCCTATATTTTTCCACATAAAAGAGCTGAGGCAGAAGCAATCCCAGAGACATAAAGAGAAGTTCATTTCACATCAGTTCAGAGGAGAGGAGAGGATCTGCAGACCTATTAGTACACATTTCATGCCAACATGTTTCTGCTTTACAGGAGACTCACCATCTCTCCCTGATCTGTCCATCTGTCCGGCCAAGTCACATGGACACACACTCACATACACACACACACAAAAAAAAAACAGCCAAGCGTACAGGGAAAGCACTCACATCCTCTTTCATTATGATGTGTCTGATCAATGCTACGATAAGCTCTAGATTGATCTTGTCTAGGGTGACCATACGTGCCATTTTCCCAGGACGCGTCCTGGCCAGGATTTCTATATTGCCTAAAATATCTAGGTTTTGGCTTTGTTTGCGTGTGCAGACCGATCGGTGTATGACATCAAAATACCATACAGACGGTTCCTTATGCTTTCAAAATGCTCTCGAGGTATTTTGCTGTCATACACCGATCGGTCTGCACACGCAAATAAAGCCAAAACTAGATATTTTAGGCAATATAGAAATCTTTCCCAGGACGCATCCTGGGAAAATGGCACGTATGGTCACCCTAATCTTGTCATCATCATCCATCATCTCCAGCGCATCGATGGTGCTGTTTGAGTACCTGCCAATCACACAGCAGAGAAGTCACGCTACATCACATCATGGTGACTCAACAAGCACTGGTAAATATTTGCTTTTAGAATTCACCTTTATAAGCTCCAAGACAAACATCAACAACGGGATATAACTGCAGCCCCACCAATAGATTTATTTTTAAAATGTACAAAATAAATTTGTTATAGTGGCTGGCGTGCAGGTTTGTAAATGTAATACCTTACCATAGGGTAATTAGTCAAAAAGTTCATTAAGGGTGTGTTCACACTTGTCATGTTTGGTTAGATTAACATTAACGAACTCTGGTGCGATTGCTCTGTTGAAGTGTGAACGGTGCCATCCGAACCCTGGCGCGCACCAAACAAGCAGACCGAGAGCTTCCAAACGAACTCTGGTGCAGTTGGAATGAAATATGAACACAACACGGACCAAATATTTCTAAATGAACCAAAAACAGGAAGTAATGACAAGATGCGACGCTATGCGACATGATTTGACAACACGGTGTAACCAAAACAAAATGAGCAGAGGGCAAACGTGGAGCAACGATGAGGTAAAGTGCCTTTTATGAGCTCCTTGTGAGTTTGCAAACGGTGAAAATTAAATTATATGTACACGCAAGAATGAGCGCGCTTAGTCCAGCAGACGGCATTAGATGTGTTCGACTTGAAGCGGCGCTGAGCAGACCGATCGGTTAATGGGTGCGTTGATATCATACACCCACAGCGCCGCTTTAAGTCTAACGCACCTGTTTGTTTGGGGTGTTCGGTACGTTCCGTCACAATATATACGTCAATCCAATATAAGCCGACCAATCAGGTTGTGAATGTATCACTATGCCTTTAGGTTCGGTGTCTTTAGGTTTGCTGTCAAAAGTGCCAATGTGAACGCTAAGCGGACCAGGAACAAATGTATCATTTTCCTTTTTGGTCCGGACCAAACGAACCGAACTACAAGTGTGAACACACCCTAATTTTAATGTGCTTGCACATCGAGGCATGAGATGGTGGTTGCTGTCATTCAATATGGGAATAGATTTAGTACAGCCTGTATAGAACACCATGAGATTGTTTATCAAAAAAGACTGATGGTCTCTGAGCATGCGGGCGAAGCAGGGCCAGCTCTCGCAGTATTCAGCCTCCTTCTGTTCTTTCTCTGGCCGTACATTCTGGACGTGCATAAATCCTCTCCTATAGTGAGGTATGCAGTCCTGATGTTGTAACTTTAACCTAACAACCAAAGTTAGATACTCCAATTAGATACTCCTACTCCTAAGTTCAGTCAGTCAAGCTCACTGTAGAGCATCTACTGCAGTCACTGAGCTACAAAATGATGGGAAAATATAAAACGGAGATAACACCAAGTCATTCCAACCTAAAGGAATAGTTCACCCAAAAATGTCAATCCAAACAGACATAGACAGTACAAAATGATAAACTGTATGGAAAAGAGCTGCTTAAATACTGAATTTTATTTTCATTGCTTTTTTTTAATCATTTTTTAATTTGCATGTAAACACCTTGGATCAGCTTGAACCATGTGTAAAAATGTAAAAGATGATCTTTCAGAAATCATTCTATTATGCTGATTTGGTGCTCTAGAAAAATGTATTATTATTATTACAACTGAAGAAGTTGTGCTGCTTTATATTTTTATGGTAACTGTGATCTTGTTTAAGGATTCTTTGATGAATAAAACATTTAAATAGAAACAGAAATCTTTTAGTCAATTGAATGCATCCTTGCTGCATAAATGTATTAATTTCTCATAATTTCTTACTGACCCACATTTTAGAATGACACTTTTGAAATATTCCATAAAACTGTAAACGAGCTCACCTAAGCAATTCCACCACATCCTCCAGTAAGTGCTCTTTCACTGGGTATGTGTATCCAGGAGTATGGATCATGGAACAATTATCTGTAAGAGTATAAATCTGTCACATGCATGTTTCTCCTTGCTTGGTTGGATTTCCATTGTTCATAATATGACCTTTTCCCCTTGAATGCTAAAGCTATTATCCCGGTCATTACCACTACGCTAGGCATATTGTGTTCCTTTGAAGAATACAGAGAGCTTTATTAGGCTATTATGTATATTATACATATTATATTATAAACAAAGTTAAACAAATGCTGCAAAACAGCAAATCAGTCAATCATATCGCATTTAGCTATCTTAATTATTTGAAGACGATATGTTATTTCTCTTACTGAAATATTTGCTGAATTTCTCAGTGTTAAGCGTGGCAATCATGAGGACTACTTTTAGGTCCTCTCGAGCAGTTAACAGGTCCTTCACGGTGGTGAGAAGAATATCAGACTGAAGACTCCTCTCATGAATTTCATCCAGGACCAGATGACTTATGCTTGAAAGATATCTGAGGGAAAGAAAAAAAAGAGAGCTTGAGTAAAGGACAGACTTTTTCCTTATTCGTGAATGGGTGAGAAGAAATAACTAGAGCAAAAACAAGAAAGATTCCTGAAGCCCTGATGATCTGAAGCGACCCACTCATAACTGACAACTATGATATTTCTTGAAGGCCACACATGGTTAAAGACTTTACAGATACTGCAAGAATTGAAAATAATATTAATTTCAGTTACAGTTACTGTCATACAGACAGTATTCGAGCCATTCCTGTAAGCTTCTGTCTGAACAGGGCAATTTGAGAGTCGCAGCTGTTAGTAAACACGGTTGTCAATCCCAAACACTGACTCTGTAAGCGTAAGTGACAGCATCTCAGATCCCTAACAAGCTTTTATCTGGGACTTCTGTGTGTATGAATATGTCAGCAGTTAAACAGAAGGGATCAGAGAAAAAAAAAAAACACGACAGTGCATAATGTGTTTTCTATGTGGGTTGCAGTAAAAGCTGTCTGAGTGGATGAGTCAAGCTAAGAGGCATGGTGAATGTTACTGTAGGCATCTCCCCTCTGCAGCTGCTGAAGCAGAGATGATGTGAGTGAGTCAGTCAGTCATACTGAATGTATGTGCAATTATACGTATGTTTGACATTGCTTTGAGTATGTATATGTGCACGCTGCACCCTGCACACCGGCTGTGTGCTGATTAAACACCGGCTCCTCTCACAGGGTAAAGAAAAGTCAAAGCAGACAGATAGAGGACGGGGGGAGCGGGTTATGAAACAGCAGAGTGGAGAAAAAGAGGTGTAGAACACTTATGGATCTGAGCGCAGCCACTGAAGAATAATGCCTGTAGTACAATACAACACTGAGCCTTGTTTCCGTGGTAACCGACTGGAAAGCAGTGCCAGAGGATGAGGGGGGAGAAAAGGAGGAGGAATGAAACAGGAACAGTCAGAGTAAATATAAATTTAATTTCAATTTCAATATTAAAATAAATTACAATTCTAAAATCAACATACTACACACAATAAAAGCAAGAACATACCCTATTTAAATAAAGATAAATCAATGAATGAATAGGCTAAATAAATAATGAATGAATTAAATGAATGAAAATAAACGAATTACATTTTTCAATATTTAAATAAACAAATGAATGAAATGTTTCCAATAAATAAACTCTAAAAGAGACAAGAAAAACTTCTCAGGTTACTTATGTAACCATGGTTCCCTGAGTAGGGAACGAGACACTGCGTCCTCTAGGGGTCGCTATGGGAAACGCCTCGTCGTGACCCGTGTCTGAAGCATACATTGAAAAAACACCAACTCGTTGGCCGGCAACAGCCATGACGTCACTACCAGTGCGACTATAGTATAAATAGGCGCCGGGAGCACACATCATTCACTTCTTCATCTGAAGCTTGCGTCCGCAGCATGGCAAGAAACCTAGAGG